TCAGCCTGGGCAACTCAGCAAGACCCTGTCTCAAAATTCAAAAAAATTGTAGAAAAAAGCTGGGAGTTCAGTGTGAAGCCCAGGGTTCAGTCCTCAGCACCATTTAAAGAAAAAGGGAGGAGAAGACTGGTCCCCCGAAAGGCCTGTGTTTCACACAGTTCCCTCGTGTCTAATAATAAGAGGTACGTTGAGGTATATGGTTTATAATCTCTGTCTCCACAGTACTCATAAACACTGTGGCACTTGGGTAGTACTTTCCAGATGTTATTCTGTCTTGTGACCCTGTTCCCCTCTAGAGGCCAGATTTCTCCTTAGGCACCTTGTATTCCTGGAATATAGACCAAGAGTTGCAGGACAGTACCAAGTATTTATAAAAGTGGCCCAGGTTGATATCTGTTAACAAAAATATAGACAATAAGTGCTTTTTCCTACACTAGTAATAGAACCTGTGTGAAGTGTGCAAATTGTGCACGTTAGGTTAATCTGCAAAATATTTCAAATTTGTTGTTTATTTGCTTGTTTGCTATTGATCTTTTTAAAAAGTCAACTCATCCTTGCTTCAGGGGTGAGCCTTAGTTCATTTTAATTTTGGAAGCATAGGCACGGGAGAAATTAATTTATTCTGAGTTGAGTGTTTACTCTGTCAAAAGTAATTAGCTTATGGGGTTTCAATTTATAGTTTCTAGAATATGGTATTTAGGCAGTTAACAGATTCAGAAAATGTTGATTGCTAGAAAGGGCAACTCATGGGAGGACAGAGATGCTGATTATTCAGCTGAACCTAAGGGAGTTGTGTGTCTTTCACTTCACAGTGTATGAACACTTTCCTGCAAAAGGCCTGTTGAGCTGATGTGGCTCCACTAGTGAAACAGGATGGTTTAAAAAAAAAAAAAACTTGTCTTATTTTCAGATTTTGTGTGTGTGCATGGGTGTGTTCATAAGCACGGGTCACAACTCAGAAGTCTTCTTTCTTTAACCTGGGATTTCTGTCTCAGCAGTATGTGCTGAGATGCAAACTGTTTATGCGCTGCTGTTACCCTGGCTTCCTTTTTGAAGACCAGACTCTTAGCTTCCTGCTTCAACTGACCGCTTTTATTTTTATGAACCCTCTTAAGTTTCTCAGGCTTCTACTGAAATTCTCTCTCACCTAAATTTTCTAAATTATGTGGCCACTTGCGGGATGTTGTAAGGCCTTGAAACCATTGCATTAGAAAGTGCAGCTGGACTTGGTTAAGCCCTTTGGGGCAGCGTCTTCGTTAGCAATTTCAGTGTCAACATCCACACCTAATGTGGCCAGAAAATAAGTGGGGACAAGGAGACTTGCTCTGTGTGCTTTTCAGACTGTATAGATTATTTCTGTGGGAATGAACTCAGCTCCTCTTGCTTGGCTTTGGGTAAAAAGAGGTGAAAAGTTCCTGTTCGCGCTGTGGAGAGCCCAGAGCGAAACAGCTTTGGAGGGCCATTTCACTGCCAGGAATAGAAAGCCTTCTTCGGTTTATCTAAAGTTATGGGAGCATTTTTATTCCAAGGAAGTTCCAGGATTAAAGACTACCTCAATCAGTTATACTTCCAGTCTCCTGGGAGCGCAGGAACTAAAACCAACCTCATTGAATATAGTTTGACAGCGGAAGGGATTTCTGATTATCCAAGTGTGGAGATACTTGTAATTGAACATAAGACTCAGTGTTCCCCTGAAATGGCATTTGGGAGAAAGGCAGACCTGTATAAGTATTTCTGTATTCTTCCTTGGGGGTTCCCTAAGACTCAGATTATATCCTCCTTAATATACGTTTAATATATTACGTCAGGCAGACAGTATGTTTCCTATTTTCCTTCCTTCTATATTTCCTGATCTTTATGCCCATGTGAAAGGATACTGGTGTCTGTACCCACGCACACACATACAACACATGCACACAGAATATCCCATCGAGTAAAAATCTAATGGTGGAAATCAAAACTCTGAGGAAACTTGATTTGACTTGTCTTCAAAAACATCTTCATTTTTTTGTTGAGAAATTTGCATTGCGTTTTACATTACATATTCTGAAAATGGTAATATTCACAATAAATAAGCACTTGAATATGAGTTTGTAGTTAACGGACACGTTTAGAGATGTGTTGTTCCCATAAAAACTCCCTGAAAGAGAAGGGCAGGTCTGACTGTCTGTATTTTAGAAGTTGGGAATTTAACACAGTGTTTCGGGAGTGACATGGCATCCTGCTCTGGCCCTCCCCGTGCCCCTTGACCCTCACTGCAGGATGTGGAGCTCTGGAAAGTGGCAGTGCCATCCTCACTTCCGCCTGCTCCCCCACCCTGACTTAGGTTCCTGGGAGAGAAGACACAAGGAACTGTTTGGTCAGGTACACATTTGTTAATTTGCATAGAGCTTCTGCTCTGGGTGTCAGCTTCCTTCCTTGCTTTGCTGGTGAGACTGAAAAACTAGAAAAGTTGGGAAGGTGATTTAACTCATCAAAAGCTTATGCAAGAGACACCCGTGCTTCTCCCTTCACAAGGATGTACGGAGATGAATCCAACTTGCCTGGTGTACCTGTCTTCTTAATTGTCTAATCCCTGGCCCCACTTACTCTCAGAAAAGGAAAATCACTGTCATATGACCTGTCTGCCCACAACTGAGAGACTGGTATGGTGGTATCTAGAAAAAAAGACCAAGGAAAATGAAAGCAAGGATGTGTAGTAAGTAAAGTATATTGTAGTAGGTATATATCCAGTACATAAATAAGACACAGTGTGAGCTAGGTCTATAATCCCAGCGCCCAGAAGGCTGAGGCAGAAGGAACACTGTGCATTTAAGGCCCAGCTTGGCCTACGTAGTGAGTTCAAGACCAGCCTGGAAATCTTGTCTCAAAAAGAAATGGTGCAGTAAGATACACCCACCCCCACCGTATGTGGGTGCAGTAAGAGTATGAAAGCTGCCCATGGAGTCTGATCAAATTTGTTGAACTAGCAGTTCAAATGCCACAGGTGGCTTTGCAGCAATGACATTTTTTTTCAAACTGTGAACATCTATTACCATAATTCTCAACAAAACAAAATACAAAAAGAAGCAAACATAATTCCTCAGATTTATGTTGTAGTGTGTTGGGGAAATTTTGATTATATTCAAACTGCATGAAATGAGCCTGTGTATGTTTACAGCAGTAAGGATCTAGGCTGAGATAGCTCTAAATGAACTTTTTGACAACATGAAGGCCCGAGGGATATCTGAAAGTCATACAGGACAAGAATGGGGCGCAGGACAGTTCATTCTCGCATAGGACTGTTCTGGAGCTTGACTGCCAAATGGCAAGGGCGGTCTCTGTTAGTCTGATGTCAAAATGATCCTCATACATTTAGAAAGTCTAGACGGCAGGGACGTGTGTTAGTGATAGATCACTGGTGTAGCATGTGAGAAGCCTTGGCATCTGTCCATCCCCAGCAAAGGGAAGAAGAGAGAAAGAGAGAGAGCGAGGGAAGGAAAGAGGGAATCTTCCTAGACTAGTGGGTAGAAGTTTTAGATGACAAGACTGTGTGGGAAATCCTCCACCTTAAACACCTCAAAAACATAGAAACCTAAGAACCTGGGAGAACACAGACTTCCTAACTTGTCAGGCCCAAAGCTTATTGCCCCCTGATTTCATCCTTTGGAGGGCAGGAGTGCAGGGAGTGACTACTCTATTTTTGCCCCAAGGCTGAGATAGGTTTTTAACCTTGCCTGGCCCTTATCTGCTTGCTCTCTGTGTTCTGCATTCCTGTGGTTGAATGTGTTTGCACTTTGTCTGTAGTCTCTGTCCTTGCAGCTTGGTAGGGAGGCTCTTTTTAGACTGGGTTCCAAAGGAGTTGCAGAAGGAGGTTTAAAAGTATCCAAGAAAACCAATAGATCTTTTTCTGTCTGGTAAAACACACGCAGTTTACCTACCGAATGTTTTCTGTATGAGTACCTAATACATTTTAACTGTGCGTATACATGGCTAAATTATTTTGGTATATAAATAAAAATTTTATCTCTTGATCAGTTTGAAGGGTATAATTTTGCTGCAAACTATACTATTTCAGTAATTGCATTTGTGAATTATCTCACAGAATTAATTTTTGAATGACAATGAAGATCATTGTGAAAGAAAATATTCACCTCTTATTGCACGATTTCCAGAATCGGCATTTTCACTTTGTGCTCTCTCTGAGGCAGGGTTTTAGCGCTAAGCACAGTACTCCTAAGTTCAGATTCTCCAGCTTTGGCCCAGGGTGGCTGTGTGATCTAAAGCAAATTCATTTACCTTATCTATGCCTTACTGTAAAATCTCCTCATCAGTAATATACAGGGGCTGGTATTTATAATGTGGTTGTAAGGATTAATGTGAAATACCTGACAGTTTTCTTCTAGTCCTTGTTCCTATGCATACAGATTCTTCATATGGTATAACATAGTGCCAATAAAAATTTTGTCTTTTTATTTGACCTAAGCATTTTTGTAATTTAAATAACTTTGATAATTACTATTTAAAAATATTAAAGTATTAAAAAGTATTATAGTAGATTCATAACATTCTGCTACCAAAATCTACAGTGTAGTACATGGTGTTCTTTCTTATATAATATGAGCCATAAATTTACTTATTAGCAGGCAATAAAATAAAATAAAAAAAAACCTTCTACTTCTTGAGATAACCGTGAGCAAACCCAGGAAGCAGAGCTGAGTTGAGTCAGGGTGTGGGCAGGTGGCAGGTTTGCCTGCTCGGTGATGCACGCACCGGCCCAGACTTGCAGCTTTTAGAGAACAGCTGTGCATGTCATGGACGTGGATTGCACAGGAAGAGTCAAAACCACAAACATTCAAGGATATACTTACTGTCCTTCACCTAACAATGAAGTCAGTACACATGAGCATTTTTAGTTTTGCTTCCTAACGTTTTCATTTTAAAAATGCTGCCAAACAGATCTGCTGATGGGTTGCACTTTTCTTCTCTAGTAGCACCTCCTTAGGATAAATCTTTAAAAGTATAATTACTCAATTAAAGGGTGCAAACCAATTACCTTTGGTGTCATTGGCAGCTTGTTGTCTGAAGGTATTACATAGATTTACACTGTCCCAATTAAGTAGTTTCAGGTATTTATAACCAAGGATTTTTATTTAAAGAGTTTTGGGGGAAACTAACTTAATAGAAATACCAATTTTAATTTATATTTGTATTAGGGAATCTAAATACTTATTTTTGTATATTTTTATTTCCTTTTTAAAATTTTCTTTTGTATTATTAATTCATTCATATTTTTCTGTGTTTAAATTATGGGATTACTAATTTGAGCCTTTTCAGGATTTTGGAAAAATTAAGTTTTTTATCTAATTATGTTATTCTGCTTTTTTCTTTTAGCTCCAGCAATAAACAGATTCACAAGGCGTGCCTCAGGTAAGTCTGACTGTTATGGTTTTGTTTACTGCTAGTGAACCTAGTAAGATTTAAAAATCGACAGCATTATTGGGCAGGAAGGTGCAAATAAATTTATTGCTGAGAATAATAACGTGTTCATTGTTTTCCCGGGGAACACCAATCTGATATAATCATGACTTGGAAAATAATTGAAAATGCCTTTTGAGCGACTAAATTTACGTCATACTGTGGCCTAAGCTGAGGTACCTTTTGAATTGGAGACTCTCACCCCAGTGTGTGTATTCTTGTTGTTAATAAAATTACTACTTGCATGGTTATCTGATTTACTGGCTAGTTTAGAAGCAGTGCTTTATCAGATGACTGAAGGAGACCTAGAAACAATGATGAGAGAGTTCTTCATTAGGGGCAGGAAAACTTACAGTGAAGATTTAAGAACTTACTATTGTCTAGCTGGCTGGTTTACATTTGTTGACATCTCTAAAGCTCTTGCTGTCTTGTTCCTTAGTAAACCAATGTATAATCAGGGGATAGCTCTGTGACAGTGCTTCATTAGGTTCAAAATACTGAACTATCTGAACTGGCAGGGGAGTGTGGGCTACAATTAAGAGCATTTCTATCCAAAATAGCTTGAACGTGCATTGAAGTGGACACCTTGTCATTTGGAAAACTCACCCTTATGGAACACTGCTCTGAGGATAGAAGACAAATGAAGTGCGGCTACCTTTGGCTTGAGACAGTTACTACAAATAGACTAATTTTGTTGAAAGCCACGAGATAAACATCTTTGGAATTTAGATAATACAGATGACTAGTTTCTTTCATAAGATTATCTTATTTCCACCTGTGCTATACCACCAAAAATGCTTTAAGGTTGAATTTTTTAAAGTTTGTCAGCAGTTAGTGGCATAATTTACTCTCGTTATACAATGGCCGGTTCTATAATGACAGAAATTAGGAAAATATGCTATTTGAGGATGATATATACTTTTATCATTCTGAGCTTTTTGTAATCTCAAAACATATTTATTTTAAATGATGAGAACAAAGTGTAGATTGTTCTGGAGTGAGGTTGTGTTTACGTCAGTAAAGCACCAAACTTTATCAAAAGTAGAGCTGTCAGGTATGACCTTTATGAGTAGTGATAGAAACAAGGACAGAAAATAGAGTATTGTGTATCTTGTCTTCAAGATGTCAAGATCTTTCAATGGAAACATAGCTAAGTTTTGGAATACATAAATAATCTCCCTTTCTACCTCAAACCATATGCTTGTGACTTTTTTTTAGTTTAGTATTTTCATATCTGCATAACACTTCTTTTTTTAAATTTTATTTTAAAGAGAAAAAAACAAAAAAAAGAACAACAAAAAAACAATAAAAATGGTACAAAATTTCAAAACAAAGTGATAGGAAATTAACAAGGGTTGTTATATTACATATTGTTATCTTCAAAGTAGTTGCTCAGGTTACCAGGTACAGGTATGCAAGATTGATCAAACAATTAAGCATTAACTCTTCCTTTCAATAAACCACTAGAAGTTAGCAGTACAGTTATCTTAGCTATCTTAAAAGAAAGTTTTGTGCTAATATTGTGTAGACAAGATATCATGCCTATATCTTGTACTCTGAATAACTACTAGGAAACAACAATACAGAGTGTATCCACTGTTGTAACTGTCCTGATAACCTGTTTTGAAACTCGGTTTCATTGTTATATTTATCTTTTTTTAAAAGGAAGGAACTTACGACCTTTATTTATGTGTAAGTTCCATGAATATTTGTTGTGCAGTATATTTATCGTTAATTGATGGATTAGGGGCTCCACTATATAGGGTAGTTTTGAAACACTATAATTTCTCACCCTGCTCCCTATATATGTGTCTAGCATATCTTAGGAAGATTTGGCTGGAAATGCAGAAATGATGGGATGCCAGAAATAAGTAAATCAGTCAATCAAACAAATTAAATCAAATCAAATCAGATCATTTATTTTCAGAATAGCAATTAGAAATATCTGTGAAAATAACAGGAATCAATTTGGCATAAAGAAGATGATGATCAAGTTCAGGACTTACGCTCTATGGAATAGTAAGCTGTAAAGAGGTAAAGTTGCCCTCCCAATAATATAATATGGGAGTGGTTCTTACCATTTTTGGAAGGAAAAACAAATTAATTTATAAAATACTTCTGATAGATTGGGCATGAATATGTACATTTTCAGTCTCTTGGGCTGATATTTAGTGCCTTAGATAAAAATAACAGTGGCATAAGAAAAAAAAAAATGGGACCTATTTAATCATCTACATGTTTATAATTTATTTTGGTTTTCTTATTTTACTTCTTCTAAAAGTTTGTCTGAATCTTTTTCTGGTAAAGAAAAATACAGAAACACTTTTAAGACATCCTGGAGAGGAAATTCTACAGCTCTTGGTTGTACTGGCTAAAAAGGAGGGTTTGTAGCAAAAATAATATTTCCTTAAAATAAAAAATTTTTGTCTACTTGAAATATAGAAACTTGTATATAATAACTAAAAAATATTTCTTAAGGCACCATTTCTGATACTTTTATTTTAGAAATACTCTCTGGGGCTGGGGATATAGGTCAGTGGCACAAGCGTCTGGCTGGCAAGTGCAAAGTCCTGAGTTCGATTCCCGGTACCAAAAAGAAAAAAAAGAAGTACTTTCTGTTCAGAATTAAAACTGTAGAGCTTTAGTGTATGAACCAGAACTTAGGGCAAGAAAATAAGATAAAATCAAGTAAAAATCTGTATGTGAGTTTGCTTCTTATTCATCTATGTTTTAGTAGTAATTACAAAAATAAATGCTATATTTATGCCAATAATTGCTGATTAATTTTAAAAATTCAGTCTTAAAGCATTTTTAATGTCATAGCACAGGTAGAAATAGGCTAATAAAACTTTGGTGTGTTTAAATAACGTTTGTTACAATAAAAGATACATTGCTATTAATTCGCCCTCATAATTCCCTGTCTCACTCCAAACACACTTACCCTGTTCTTGCCACTTTTTAGCAGTTCTGAAAGTCCTTTTGTGAGTGTCCTTATAAGGTGTGGTCAAAAAACAGTGACTGCTGCTGCCAAGTGCTATTCAACAGAAAGGCAGGCTCATGAACACGTTGTGATGTGCCCTCACCCACCCCATTCACTGGATCTGACACCATGTGATTTCTGGCTCTTCCCCAAAGTCAAAGCAACCGTGAAAGGTCAGCGTTTTAAATCAACCCAGGATTTTGAGGCCACTAGAACAGTGCAACCAAGACATGCATGAAAGAGGACCTCGAGAATTACTTCAGAAAGTGGCAGGAACCGTGGGATAGGTGTGTTTGAAGTGGGGGGGGGAGGAGCATTTTGAGGGAGATAAATGGCAAGGTGTGTTTTACTTTAATTTCATTTTGTTTTGATCACACCTCATGTTTATACTACACAAATACATGTGCTATATATTCCTGCAGTACATAAGTGTGGTGCTAAGTATTTAATTACTCCTGATTGGCTGAAAAATTAATATGGTGTAATATATTTCTCACATTCTGAGTTTCCTAAATCTCTCAAATTTTTGGCTTTTGATAGTTCTACTATAGTAATCTGTTAAAAATAAAAATTTCAAACATGAGCAAATAAAACATTTTTCCTTTAAACACCTGTTCTTTCATTACAGTTCATGAAGGTGAAAGTTTATGTTAAGAAAATATTTAAGAAACACATTATTTAGGGTCATTGTTGCCCTTTTAAAAACACTGTTTGTCCTGAATTTTCCTCCTGTGTGTGGTTTTAGTGCCTGCCCACAAACCTGTCAGTTATCATTTCCATAAGTAAAAGGAGTCTGTTTCACTCTGTGTTTCCAGACAGAATCCCTAGACTCTTAGGACCCTGCGGAGGCCTGAGGGTTTTATAAGCTAGTTTTCTACTTTGTATGGAGGTGAAAGGAACATGATAGAGCGATGGATGGAAATGAGTGAAGAACGGTGTTGGAGAAATAGGGCCCTACTTCGTAGCTTAGGTTGGGTAAGTTCTACAGGATACAAAGAACTGTTAGGTATCTTAAGAAGTCTAGCTGGGATACATCTTTGATGTCTTCCTGACAGTGCTTCATACTTTCATTTTTAAACAGACCCTATGATCCCACTGTTAAAAGAAGAAATATTGCTTGTTTATTAAAACTCATTTTAAGTCTTTGTAATCCCTTTTTAAAAAATACAGTCTATACATAAAGCTATTTACTTCATTGAATTAAATATTTTATTTTTCGGTTTTAGATCTTAACAAGGTTAAGTTAAATAGTTTCAGGAAATCCCACATCAGTGTCTGGTTTCTCAAAAATGATAAATTCTCAGTCCTCTTCTCTTGAACATGGTTTAAAACAAAATAAAACCGTCAGGTTTGCATCTTAGCCTGTCAGGGACTAGCCTTAGAAAGTCAGAACACTGTTTGATATTACTCTTTGTAAAGGCATCTCTTTCATTGTTGGCACATTACAATTTTTACAAAGATTATAATGGTTTTCCTCTGTGGTTTCATCTTTGAATTGTCAGAAGGGGGGAGATGTCCAGTCAGTTTTTAGTCAAGCGGGTCTCCACATTTTTTTTATTAAAGATTTCATCTTGTAAAAATTCGTGTGTTTAGAAGAGTTTAAAGAGTTTAGCTCAGCCAACACCTTTGGATTCCCCAGTTGTTAATATTTTGCCACATTTGCGTGCTCTCTCCCCTACTTCCTTACCCATATTCTTTTATTTTTTTACTGAAATTTTTGGAATCTTATAGTTGAGTGTGTATCTTTGAAAAACAAGTACATTCTTCTACATACTGCAGCACTCATGGCCTTTAACCACAGTGCAGCACTGTCTAGTACATGACCTAGAGTCAGATTTTCTCAGTTGTCCTAATACGCTCTTTTACCCCACTCCTGCTCTTTTTGTAGAAGCTTATCTATGGATTTGCATTGCATTAATTGTTGTAACTCAGTTTTTCTTGTCTCTCATAATTCGACTCCTGAAAGTTTTGA